TTTTTAAAAAAATTGTGAAAATTATGAAAAAAATTATAAAAATAAATCAACTGATAAACAGTAAAGTTCATTATATTGGAGATTTAATTTTACATAAAAAAAAAAAAAAAAAAAAAAATATAGAAACAGACAAGAAATTAAATAACTTATAGAAGTTAATATATCAGTAAAAATAAAAACAGGAATAATTAAAATATCGAAAAAAAGATAATAAAATAAAGAAGTTAATGTTTTAAAATATGCCAAAAAAAAAAAGAAAAAATTATTAACAAATAAAACAATGATATTACTATTAAATATACTGAAATTTCTTATAGGAAAATGCACAAATAAATACATAAAGGTAATTAAAAATATATGTGTAAATAATATTAAGAATTATATTTTTGAAGAAATTGAATTTAATCAATTTTCTTTTAATTGTTATGACCATTTAAATAATTCAGAAAATAACAGTAAAGAAGATAATCATGATAATAATGGCAATTTTAATAATTCAAAAGAAAAGATAAAAGATTATATAGTGTATTTAAGTTCATTAAAAAAAAAAAAAAATGATTTATTACTTAATATATGTTATATAGGAAAATTAGAAATTGATTGGAATAATCATTTTGACAATGGATTAAATGTAAATGTTGAAAATATTTATATAAATATAAAATTAGATGAAAAAAAAATATATTTGAATAATTATAATTATGTAATGATAAAAAATAATGCAAAAGAATTAAATAATGAAGAAAATAATGAGATAATAAAAAATAATTTTTTTTTTACTACCTTTTTTTTTATAATTTTACATATGGGAATTATAAAAAAAAAAATATACAAAACAGTTGATATCTTGTTTAAGTATTTTCTCTATATTCTTACAAAATCGAATATTTCTCATTTTTTTAAAAAGATATTTTTTAAGTATTTTTTAAAACATATTTTTTGTATTGATATAAATAATATTAATATAATTTTTGAAGATAACATATTAGACAACCAGAAAAATATATATTTTTCATTTTATATTAAGAATGTCCACATAGATAATCACAATTATATTAAAAATATTAAAAAAGAAAATTCCAAATTCAAATTTAATAATGATAATAATAAAAATATTGAAAGAAATGAAAATATAGAATTATTTATGGTTCATATAAATAGGTTTAGCGTTTATTTAGATATGAGAAAACAACAAATAAGTAAGAGTAATATTAATTTAAATAAAATAAAATACAAATTTTTTTTTTATTACAATATAAACTTTTTTCATAAAAGAAAATGTTTGATAGAAGATTCAAATGCTAGTTGCATTATATCAAAAGATAATAACAAAAATAAAAAATATATCATCAATTTTTCTCTACCATATATTAATTTTAACCTTTTAAATGATAACTTGTATATATTGTACTTATTTTTTTATAAATATTTATATATATTTCAATTAAACAAGGAATATAGAAGAAAAAATAAATACTTGAATTTAAAAGAAAAAAAAATTAATGCAATTAATAAAAATGCATATTCGAAATATTCTTCATATAATAATAATTTTGGATTTGAAAAAAAAAAAAAATTTATGTATGTAAATAAAAAAGGATACACAAATAATAACAAAAAGGAATTATTGGAAAAATATAAAAAAATAAATAATAATAACATTAATAATAAGACAAATAATGAAAAGGATAATGAAAAAGATAATAAAATAAATAATAGGAATTCTAGAAAAAAAAGAAAAAAAAGTTATGACAATTATATACGAAGGTATTTTGAATTTAATGTAAATATAAAAAAATTAAAATTAAGTTATATATATACCTATTCAGATTATTTTTTTTGTTCTTATAAAAATATAAACACTTCTTTTTTTATTAAAGAAGAGAGGTTAAAAAATAAAAAAAGGGAAGGAGAAACATGTTACACCTTAAATGATTTTATATTTTTAGTTGATAAATTTTTTATGATGGAATCTTATTCTCAATCGTGTTTGTGTATAGACAAAAGGAAATACGAGTTGCTCAGTTTTTGTAAAAAAGGTTCTATTTTAAAAAAAGTTGAATATAATGTAGATTATGAATATTCTTTATTAAAACATAATAATGTATTAAGTAAAATCAATAAAAAAAATTATATTAATCAAGAGAAAAATAATAATTATTGTTTATTTATACGTTATAATAATAAAAAAAATATAAAAAAAAATATTTCTATAAATATTCAAAGTGTTTATTTTATAATTGAGAAAATACAAAACTTTTATTCATTAATTAAAAAATTATTTGAACAAGATTTTTATATATTTAAAAATTTAATTAATAATGGAAGAAATAATGATAAAAACAATAAGAAAAATATGTCTCCTATTATTAATTTTAATATATATTTCAATAACATTAAAGTAAAATTGAAAAGATTTGATAAATCATTCTTTATTTGTTTAGATGATGTTATTTTTTTTTATACAAATGAAAATATTAATATAAAAAAGGTAGGTATAGCTAGAAATTTGCTTTCTTCTAACTTTTCTTTTTTAAAACAAATGAAGAAGAAATGGATATCTTACAAAAATAACGTTAATATATATTATAAAGTTACCAATATATATTCTTTTATACAATATGGTAAATTTTCTCATATTTTGGTTTTTCCTTTTTCTTTATTTTTTTCTCTTGATAAGTTAAAATCATATAAAATAAGAATAGATATCCTATCTTTGGTTGTTGAATTAAATAGTTTTATTTTAAAAATTTTAAGAGTTATACTTTTTAATGAAGAAGATTTTCTATTAGATAATTATAACAACTATGATAAAGAAGCAAAAACTACTTTTTTATCAACAAAAGAAGATGAAGCTATATTAAATTATCCTGAAAATGAAAAATATTTAAAAATTTTATATGATTATAAAAAAGAAGAAATAATAATACAGAATGAACTGAATTTATTATTTGGCGCTTTAGAAATATTTTTTGATCACAATGAAATAATTAACAGAAATTTTGAAGAAGAATTAAATAATTTATCTTTTTGTCTCACATATATTTTGAAAATATTTAACAATGCAAAAATAAGATTTTCTTGTAATAGTATGAATTTGTATTTTTTTTGTTATAACAATTTTTTATATGAGAAAAAAAAAAAAAAAAAAAAAAAAAAAAAATTTTTGAATATTCTAAGTTTTACTAATTATAAAAATGATACAATAAGAAAACATAATGATTATAGAATAGATGTGTTTTATTTTAAATTAAAATTAGAAAATATTTATTTCAATTTTTTTGTGAATAATAGTGATTTAAATGATTCAAATTCTTTCCTTATTTTTAAGAAATTGTATATAAGGAACATTTTTTTATTTTTTGATTTTCATTTTAAACCTATTTCTTTATATTTTGTTTTATTTGAAGGATTGAAATTATATAAATTAGTTGATCAAGAAGATGAAAAGAAAATTATAAAATTAAAATATGATTCAGAATCAATTAAAGATAAGAAATGCATAAATAACATTACTAATAAAAAAAAATATGCACTTATTATAAAACAAAAGTGTCAATTAATATATACTAAAAAAACATATAAATATGAAATAAAAAATAACCATATGTTTATAATATATATTGATAAATTAAATATATATATTTTTGATTTTTTTGTTAATCTATTATACTATTTTTACTATAATTCAAAATTAACAAAAGAAGTAAGAAAAAGTAAAAAAAAAATCACTTCTAATAATGTTACTGTTAATATAAATAATTTGGATACATATTCATTATCAAAAAAAATGATAAAATTAATTAAGGATATAAAAACATTTTATCATATAATAATAAAAAATGTATATAAGTACAAATTTTATTTTATCATGAAAATGATAAGCTTTTATTTTATTTTTCATGATAATATTGAAGAATGTGAAGATAATTACACTTCAGATCTCTTTAATAAACATTTCAAATTTAAATTAGAATATATTATTATGAAAGGGAAAAATAATTTAGTAAAAATAACTAAAAAAAGATTGCATAAATTACCAGATAAAAAAAGAGAAGAAAGAAATACAAATATCAACAACTTAGATATGAATGAAAAGAATAAAGAAGATTCATCAAATTTTAAAATTGAAAGTAAAGAAAAAACAGAATGTTATAATTTAAAAAATGTTAATCCAAACATAAAAAATTACTCATATATTTCTAAATTTTATTTAAATGTCTTTTTTAATTATTTGTCAATTAGTAGATATGAAATTAAAAATAAAATAAATAGAAAAAACACATATTCTTTAAATAAATTCAAATATCATAAAAGTTTACAAAGTAATAATAATTCAGATAGCAAGAAAACTATATTTAAGTTAAATAATAAATATACAAATAAATGTGATATTGATATAAAGGAGAATAATAAAAAATGTAATTATATTGTGTATAAAAAAAAGAACAATTATAAAAAGAAAGAAGTGATACTAATGAAAATAGAAAAAACAAATATAATTATTTGTGATATATATAATATGTTATTCCATTTAGATTCTCGCAAAATTAAAATATTCAGTTATATAAATTTTATATATTCTTTAAATTATTATATGAAATTGTTATTAAAAACATTTCATTGTGATTTTTTTAAAAAAAAATTTATATTCAGTGAAGTTATTAAAGCAGATTATGAAATTGATAAAATCATAAATTTTATAAAAGATAAGAAAAAATATTCATATAAAATATGTAAAAAAAGAAATTATGAAAGTAAGTTAAGTTATAATAGATGGAGTAATATTTTTTCTCATGTTTATAATATTAAAAAAATATATATTAATTTAAATAGTATATATTGGAATCTTATATTATCAGATACAAGAAAAAATAAAAAAAAAGAAATGCTATTTCTAAATGTTAAAAATTTAAGATTTACTTTATTGAGAGATATTACTATAGTAGACAAAAAAATGGTTCAGTTAATTTACTCTTTTTACAACCAAATTTTTTATATTAACCTATATATAAAAAGTAAAAAAGATAAAAATAAATTTCTTATATTTCACTCAAACTGTATTAATTTTTACAATCAGATAAAATCTAATGTACATATAAGTATGCTTAAAATTAATTTAAATAATTTTGTTAAAAAAAACAAAAAAAAATCGAATATATTAAGAAAAAATTCATTATTAAATCTAAAAATTTATTGTCTACATAAATCCTATGATTACAAAAAAAAGATTAACTTTTTTTTTAAAATACTAAATAATTTAAAAAAAAAGGTATATTATATAAATCATGTTCTTCCTGTATTAAAAGAAAAGGAATCTTGTAATAAATTCAATGTAAAAACAGTAATAAAATCATATAATAATAGAAATGAAAAAACAAGTAAAAATAATTCAAGTTTTTATATTTTTATAAATGAGAAAAACATTGCATCATTAATGGATTTTTATGGTAACATAATGAAATTAAAGAATGAAATAAAAATAATTTGGAATAATTACAATAATAATAAAAATAAAAAAAAAAATAAGAGGAATGTTAATAAAAATTTAAAAAATAGTATATATAGATTAAATAAAAATAATATTAAAATAAAATCTAACTTAGAAAAATTAAAAAAAAAGAATAGAAAAAAAATTATTTTTAAATTAAATTCTTATTTACAAGATAAACCATTTTACAAACATATTCAATTGTATAATAAGACATATGATAATAAATTTAATAAAATTTTAAATATGTTAGTAAATTCTTTTAATTCAATCAAATTTAAAATAAAAAATGTTTTCCTATTCTTTTATACAAAAAATATGAGTGTATTTATAGGTGCTTTTATAAAAAATTTAAATGGTACATTAATTAAAAATGAATTTATAAAAACATATAACATGACTTCATATAATTTAAAATATATTCATGAATTGAAAGAAGCGATTGTATTTAGTAGTAATAGTTATTTTAACTATAAAAAAAATTTATATATTTTTGAAATATATAATAGTTTAACAAAGAAAAATAGTTTAATTTATTTAAACCCTTTATTTTATTTTTTTAAAAAACAAAATATAAATTTACATTTTTCAAATTTAAAAAAAAGAATAAAGAATATCTCTACTATTAGTTTCAAGATAAATTCAAATGATAAACAAACGAATTATAATCAAAAAAAGTTATTATATAAACAAGATAATATAAAAAAGTTTAAACATATTCAAAAAAAAAGTAATCGTTTTTTAAATAGAAAAAAAAAGGATGATAAAAATAGATATAATACTTCTGATATTAACTTTATACGTCTTTTTAATAGTAAGAATACTAGTAGTAATATTTTTAAAAGTTTATTAAAAGATAATAAGCAGCTATGCAGAGAATATTGTAAATATATAAAATATAATGAAATTGGCTTTGTTAAAATGAAAAATAGAATATTTTTAAAAAAAATTTATAATTTCTTAGAGAAAAATATTATATTTCGTAAATTAAATTATATATCAAAAATGAAGGAAGCATATAAGGAAAGAAACTTAAATAAAGGAAAATTATATATAAACATTAAATATGTTATAAAAAAAGAAAAAGATCCTTTTTTAAGTATATTATTAAAACATATTTACAAAAATATTTTTATATATATTCCATTAAATACAATGGTTGATTTAAATAAAATATTAAGCTCTTCAAAAAGTTGGAAATTCATATATGCACCACCATGTAATATACAAAATAAAAAAAAACACTTTTTAAAAAAAAAAAAAAACAAACTTTTTGTTTTTTATCATTTTAAAATTCTTTTCATCAACACTAATTTTCATATATTATCTCCTTCAACCTACTTAATGAATAATATAAATGAAAATGGATTAAATACAAATGAAATGAATATAATAGAAAATGTAAAAAAATATAAAAAAAATTATTATAATCACGATGATATGAATAAATTAAAATGTAATTCAATAAATGACAACAAACAATGTGCAAATAAAATTTCTTCTAATGGAATTAATAAAAAGAAATATATATATTTAAATGAAGTTAAAAAAAAATATTATGGTACATATACTGCAGATAATGAGAGAGAAATAGAGAAAAATAATTTATATTTATTAAAAAAAAAAAAAGTTCAACATAAAAATGAAAAAGAGAGAATATTTTTATTTGATTTTATAATAAGCACTAACATGAAAATTGATGTAGAAAAAAAAATTAAAATAAAAAAATTATTGAAATTTCATGATGGAAAAGAAGGAAAAAAAAAAAAAATGTATATCTATATGAATAAAATAAATTTTAATACATCATTAAAACAGTTAAAAATTAAGTGTGGTATACTTTACATTTGTTTAAATTTACATTATATAATAAATATTATTAGATTAGAAAAGATTGTAAATATTTCAAACATATATAAAAATTCAAAGTTTTATTTAAATTTAGTAAATATTCATAAATTTCAATTATTAAGAGATAATATCCAATTAAAAAAGTTTAGTGAAAAAAGGAAAAATAAAATAAATTTTATTTTCTTAAAAGAATATTGTATATATAATATTAGCGAAATAGTAAACATATTATTTTTTTTTAATATAATTAATTATGAATTAAATAAAGATGATTATATATATTATAGGTTAAGTAAAAGAAATGATAAATATATTCTACAGAATAATCATAACTGTTTCCCATTTAAAGAAAAATATTTATCTGAAGATGAAAAAAGTTTAATTAACAAAAATAGTTTTTTTAGAAACTTATATTTAAATAATGTAAAAACAAGTAATGGTAGTTATAGTAGTATATGTAATTATAACAGCAACTATGGGAACAAAAATGAAAATAACGATAATAACAACAATAGGAATTTCTACAATAATAATAATAGAAATAATATAAATTTTAATAACAATAACTACAACAATATTGATAATAATAGTTATTATAAAAGGTGTGACAATAGGAATTATAATAATGAAATTTATAAACTTGAAAAAGAAGTAAGTATATTGAAAATGAGAAATCAAATTAAGAGAAGAGAAAAAGAAAAAAATAAACATTATAATAAAATATTAATAAATAAAAACTATATTAATATAATTATAAGCAATTTGTTTGTTTGCATTAATAATAATGATTTACTAATTTTGAAGTTTTTTATAAACGATTTAAATTACATAAAAAAAAAGTTAAAAACAAATAAAATATGCTCTTGTAAATATAAATATGATAACGTAATAATATCCTCAAAGTTTAAGAAAAACGTAAAAGAATTGAAAAATGAGAAACAAAAAACATTAGATAAAAAAATTATAACAAAGAATAAAATTAATATTACTATAGATATATTAAAAATTTTTTTTATTACAAAAGTTTATCTTCATGAAATTTTTTCTATAAACAGTTTTAACAATAATTTTAGAATAGATAATTCCATTATAAATAATAAAATAAAAAAATTCATAATTTTTTTAATTTTTAAACAAATTAATATACAGTCAATAGATATTTTGGACATTAGTAATTTTATTTATAATAAATCAAAAAAAACGCAATTTATAGAATCTTTTGATTTTTCTTCTTATTATTCTTCAAGTAAAAAAAATAAGTTTTTTATTTATATAAAAGATGATATAAATGTTAATTTAAGTAAAAACATAATTAATTTTTTTTTTTTATTTAAATACAATTTCTTTCATAATTATTTTATATATAATGAATATAATGTCGTCAACCAGTTAAATAATCAAAAAATTCATAAATTGAAAGATTTCAGAAATATTATATCATACCAACAGTCATTTTTAAGAGAATATATAATAATTAGAAATTTTACCATTTATAATATTATATATGAATATGAAGACAATATTGGTTATATTAAGAAAAATGAAGAAAACTTAATTATTTGCAAAAACTTATTTTTATTAAATATATATAGTGTTGAAGATTCTAACTTAAGAAGAAAAGTTTTTATAAAAAATAAAAATAATAATAAAAATTATAATAAAATTAATGAAAAGAATTACTTTTATGTTGATATTAATATTCATGAAAATAAAAAATGTATAAATATTTATCCTTATTTCTTTATTAGTATTATTTATAGTAAATATAATAAGAAAATATTAACTAATAGTAATTTAGAATCAAGAAAAAATGCTTTTAACATAAAATTAAAATTTATTAAGAATAATACTGTTAATACACTTTTAATAAAAGATGAAAAAATGCTATTTAGTTTTCCATTTCATTTTATAAAAAATTGTAAATTTTTTCAAATTATTCTGAAAATAAATAATAAGGTATATACAAGTAATAAAATTAAATATAATAATATATTGAAATTGAATAAATATGAATTAAAGGATATTTATGATAAAAAACATATTCTTTTTTGTTCATTTTTTTATTTAATTAAAAAGATGAAGAAATTAAAAATCAATAAAAATAATGAATCAAACAGTTCATTTAAATTAAATTATAATATTACACAAAACATAACAAAAAAAGATTACGAATATAATGAATATGACAACAATAATAAAACATACGAGATATGTATGTATGATGATAATGAAGAATTTAATGAAAACATTATAGATAAACATGAAAATAATAAGAAAAATACTTTAGAATATATAGAAAAAAAAAAATATTCTAAGGTTTTTAGCATTTTTAATATAACTAAAAAAAATGTAAATATTTTATCAATACAAAGCTCTATTAGAATTATTAATTTATCTCCATTTGATATAAGCGTTTTACTAAAAAAAGAAAAAGGGAAAATAAAGACATACAACATAAAAAATTTTGATTATGTAAATATTTATGATTTTTGCTTTTTAAAGAATATTATTTTAAATTTTAGTCTATCACCTTACAGACAGTGGATAAAATTTATAAAAGTGAACAATGAAGAATATTTTATTGAAAAAAATATAAAGGGGAATTGTAGTTATAATACAGAAAATGATGATAATAACACGAAAATAATATTTTATGAACTCATAAAGTTTAAAAATTTCTATTTTATTATATATATTTATTTTTTTGAAAATTCTTATAACATAACATTTTTAAGTAAGTATAATGTATACAATTATACAAAAAATATTTTGCATTATTATATAATTAATGAAGAGAAAAATAATATAAATGACTTAAAATTTGAGTGTGAAGTAAAGAAACATACATTAAAAGAAAAATATACTAATTACAAAGAAAATTTATTTATTCTACAGCCACTTTTAGATAATAAAATTACTTTTGTGAACGATTTTGTTGAAATAAATAAAAAAAAAAATTATAAGGAAGAAAAGGAAAATATGAAATACATTAAAAATTATTGCTTTAATCACAGATTTAGTTTAAACCATATAAAGTCAACAAATACTGACTCAATTTTATATGATACTAATAAATCATATGCAAAAGTTATATTATTGAATGATGAATATATAACTATAAATATTAAAACTTTCAATTTTCATACATTTACTCTGTCTTTTATCTATTTTTATCCTTACATTATTTTAGTTAACTTAACAAAATATGATTTTGATATAAAAATGAAAAATTATGATGTATTAGAAAAAATTTATCAGGATAACAAAAAAAAAAAAGAAAAAAAAAATTTCGAATGTGAAGGAAACCATTACTATGATACTTATGAAACTAATGAAAGTGAATTGTTAAATTTTAGTGAATGTACACAATTTTCTTTATCTAATGAAGAAGAGATATTTAAAAACAGTGAAAAGAATGTAACAAAAGTAAATAAATACAAAAAAAATAATAAAATAATTAATTTTTATGATGAATTTAAATTAAATAATAATGAAGATAATTTAAATATTTTAAGAAGTATGCATATGCAAGAGTTAAAAATAAAAAATAAAAGCACGTGGGATTTTTTAAGTTTGAAAATAAAAAAAAAAGAAAGAGAAAAGGAAAAGGAAAAGGAAAAAGAAAAAGAACAAAAAGAAAAAACAATAATTAATTTTGAATCTGCAATGGAAATATTGAAAAAAAATCCTAGTTATAAAACAAATAGAACAATTTATAAAAAAAAAAATATTAGATGCAAATATATGAAAATACATAAAAATATGAGAAAATATTTTTATTTACACAAATGCATTGAAATTACTACAAAAAATAATAAAAATTTAACAATTATTAAGCAAAGGTTATTTTATATTTCCTCTTTAAAAAAAGAAAAAACTCATTATATATTTATTAAGGAAATTCCTTTTTTAACTGATTTTATTTATTCTCACCAATATGAAAAAAATATTTTATCAATTGAAAATATTTCAAAAAATAATCTGAATGATGTTAAGGAAAAAATTTCATTAAATGCATGTATCAAACAAAACGTTAATATAGAAAAAGAAAAGGAAGGTAATATTAAAAAAAAAAAAATTATAAGGAATAAAAAAAATAATGATACATATTGCGATATGACAAGTAAAAATAACATATTCAAAACGAAATATAAAAATAAAACTTCAAATAAAATAAAAAAAAAAAACAAAAATAAGAAGAATGAACAATTATGTGTAGAAAAATATGAACATGTGTTAGACACACATAATTCATTAAAAAAAATGAGTAAAGGTTTACACTTTTTTATTAACAATCATATTTTTTATGATATTTTAAATAAATATAAAGAGTTAATTAACAAAGAAACTACTAAAAAAGGAAAGGTTTTTATTTTTAATAATTTAGGAATTCCCTTGTTTGTCAGCTCAGAAAAAAGTAATTACCTTTTTTTTATTAACACGAAATATGTTTATTTTAAAGAAAAGAAACATTTTTATTTTTATTTTCCAAAGTTTATTTTCATAAATAGGAAATTGAAATTATTATTTAAGGTGAATGATAGAATACACAAATATTATTCAATTAGAAATTATATTCATTTAGTTAAAAATAAAGAAATTCTTAAAAATTTTCATATCATGAAAATATGTTTAATTTACAATTTTGTGTCTTCATTTTATTTTTATTCTTTTGTATTAAAAAAAAAAAAAATGATAAACAATACAAATTTAAAAAAAAAAGTAGATTTAAATCTTACTGAGAAGAATGTTTCATCTCATAATACGGAAGAAACTGAAAATAATACATTTGATAAAAAATATGAAATAATATATTATGAACTTTATTTGGTAAAATTTCATTGTGATATTATTTTAAATAAAAATAATGAAATTAATATAATTATCAATGGATTAAAAGAATTTAGTTTTTTAAAAAATATCTTATCATTTGATTATTTTTTTCACTTTTTAAGAAATGAAAACATGGTAAATGGATTAAAAAATTCATCCGAAAATGTATTATACAGCAAAAAAAAAATACCTAATGTTATTTATACAAATAATTTATATGGGTTATGTAAAAATGATTTAATGAATATTAAAATTTATATTAAAAGTTTAAATATATTATTTAATTTCGAAGGTATTTCTTCTAATTCAGGTGTTATGGAAAGTATTCAACAAAAAATTAATTTAAGCAACATATATTTAAATTTCTACACATTTCAATATTTCAATAATAAAACTTTAATAAATAAAAAGAGGTGCATACAATTTTATGAACAAAGTTGTGTGAAGAAAAAATCTTATATCAAACATATAGTTCCCTCAATAAAAAAAAATAAAAAGAGAAAGGAATCATTTTTTATGCATAATATGAAATATCTCAAAAAGAAAAGAAAACATATAATAAAGGATGATACAAATAATAATCAAATTAATTTGAAAAACTCAGAATTAAATTTTTCTCCTTATAGTATCTTAAATAGATCTAATAATTATTTAGATAATGAATTATTAAATAAACAGAATAACAATAATTTAATCAGTGAATGCAATAAAAAATTTTTATCAAAAAATGCCATTCATAATTTATATTTTTTCTATAAAAATAACATCTACTGTCATTATTATTCATATATATTTACAGGATATATAAAGAATATTAAATTATATCAGCATTTATTTAATCTATTGAGAAGTAAAATACTAAGTGTTTGTATAAATTATTCGGATTTTTACAAAAAAATTTCTATACTAATAGATAATATGAGTATAACAAAAATCAATCTATATGATAAGAAGGAATTTGAATATAAATATACTATTTTAACTAAACATAACAACCAAAATGATTTCATAAATATTAATATTGATTTGTATAAACAAAGAATTATGAAATACAAGCATATATATAATACATTAAATATTCTTCACACATGTACTCATATAAATAAAATTACAAAAAGAAAAGAAAAAATGATAAATAATCATAAAAATATCACTAATGAAAAAAAAAGTAAAAAAGACACATTTTTTGAAAGTAATAATATATATGTTAATTCGAATAACTTTTCAAGAAATTATGAAAATGCTATATTATATAATGCCTATTATTTTTATAAAAAAAAAAAAAGTAACTTAAATAATAATTATATTAATGATATAAATGATCTAAAAAATTACAAAATTAATAATCTTGTAAATTTCATAGAAAATATTAAAATTAAAAAATCTCAAAAACAAAAAAAAGAAATTATAAAAAACCTATCTATAGATATAGCCAGTTTAATACTAACTTTAGATTATAATTATTTTATTAATGTAATCCCCTTTTTCTATGACTACTTTTGTAAAAAATTAAATTATTATAATATAATGAATAATTTAAAATTTCAAGAAAAAAGAAATTTAAATATATATTATGATTTACTTAAAATTGTAGAAAAAAATAAATATGAAGAAATTAAAAATTTAAAGATTCTGGAGAACTATAGTTTAACAAAAAACTTAACAGTAAATACGCAAATCAAAGAAGATAAATTCTTATTGTATATATATGATATTGACATAAAGAAAACAAAAATATATATAAATGTAAATTACTTATTAAAATTATTTTTAACAAAAAATTTTTTAATGAATATATCATCTATCAAAATTAATAATAAAAAAAAAAAAAATATAGAGCATATATTAAAAAAGATAAAAAAAATCTATTTTTATAATTATATTGATATATTTTTCTATTTACTCAAAAACTTAAATATATCAGAAAATACTTCTTATACAATGCATAATTTTTTAAGCTTACTAGAAAAGTTTCTTAAAAATAATTTGCAACTTTCACCACTGCATAATTTATATAGTTTTGTAGTAACACTAAAATATAAATGTGAACATAAACTTGATAACAAAAATAAAGCAAAGATAAACAAAGATAATTATTCTATAAATAAAAATATCAGTAATTTTTTTAGCACAGAAAACAATGCTCTTTTATTTTCCTCTGAGTTTTATTCTGATGGAAAAGATAAAAATAAATATTTAAAAAATTTTTTTTCATTAAATTATTCAAATTTTTTTTCCAAACAGTTATTTATTAATTCAGATATAAAAACAAATGAAGAAAAGGAGAAATATGAATATAATGTTATGAAGCAAATAATAGACATAAATAAAAATAGTAAACTAGCTAAATATATGAATAATAAATTAGATAATAAAAGCATTTCTGATGAAACCATTTATAGTAAAAATGTTTTGAAAAAAAATCAAGAGAAATTAGAAAATGACAAAATACTGAATAATCAAAAGAATATAAAAAATGATAAAAAAGGAGTAAATTTATTAAAGAAGTATAAAAAAAAGAAAAAATCAAAAAAAAAAAAAAGTCAAAAAAGTGATATTTCAAAAATAACGCGTATATCTTTTACGCATAATCTGAATATAACAAAATAATGAAATTAAAAAAAAAATTTAAGTATAAAAAAGAAAAAAAATAATTAAAATCACAATAGAACATAAACAAAATATATTTATTTTTATATAAAAATTTATATTGTTAAATAACTTTGCTAACATTTAATATTATTGTTTTATTATTATATTTTTTTTTTTTTTTTTTATATATATTTGAAAAAAATTATATATTTACTTTTAATCTTTTTTTTTTTCCACCATTAATTATTTGATAATTTCATTAAAGTGTTAGATTCTTCAAAAAAAGTTTTTAATTTTGTCTTTTTTTAAAATTTTTATTTTTATCTGTTTTTTTTTTTGTTTTTTTTTAATGCTTATCGTTTGTCTTGCAATTTTAATTAATTTTTTATTAATATTTTTAGCTTTTAATAAAAAAAACATGATGAAATAAATAAAAAATAATATGAAACAATAAAATAAAATGAAATATTATTATAATTATATATATGTATAAACAAAAATATTTTATCTTACTATCTGATTTTTATCTTAGATATATTTTTTTATAAAATACTTGTTTAGTAATTATATCTATATGTATTAATTGTAAAAAAAAAAGGTGGATTTTTATTTTTATATTATGAATAGAAACAAAAATTTCTTTTTATTAAATCAAGTAGAAAAAAAAGTTGCTAAAAAAATTATCTAGAATAATTAATTAATAAAAGAAACAATTCCAGCATACGAAACTGATGAATCATTCATATTTTTGACGTGATTAGACTAAGAGAAAAAATAAAAAAAATAAAAAAAAATATAATGAAAATAAAAATGAAAAAATTTCTATGTTAAAAAAAAAGAAATTACCTGAGAATAATGCATTAATTTTGTTAAAATATTTCCTGAATAATTTTGAAGTAACTAAAAAATAAACATACATACATATATATATATATATATATATATATATATATATATATATATATTAAAAAATTAAAATGTCATAAAAATATAATATATTATTAATTTTACATTTAGCATAATTTTTATTGGATTTGAACCGCATATTGTATTACGTGTTTTATTTAGGTAATGAATAAAACCTAAGAAAGAGAATTTTAAATTCATCATTTTATTTAGTTCAATGAAAAATTAATTAAACATATGAATTATAAATATTAACCTGTAATATCATGGTTACTAATAATATTGATGGCATCTTTATCCATGTTCTACATATATTTACAAAAAAATTATTATTAAATATATATTTTAATATTATATGTAAATTTGAATTTATTATAAATTTTTTTACTTCAATTTGCTTATAAATATATTTATCATTGTATTTTTGTAATATATTTGTAAAATTAAATCTAAAAAAAAAAATTAAAAATTAATAAAAGATATATAGACAAATAGAGATAATATCCTTTTTTCCTTTTAATTATTTATAAAAAATACCTTGCACCATAATGACAAAAATCCGACGAAAATAAAAATAAATTATCATCATTTTCAAAATATTTTTTTAATGGATTACCTACGTATATATTATAATAATGATAATAATAATAAATGTTATACTTTTTCACATATATATATATATATATATATATAGGATTAATATTCCAAAATTGTAAATTATATAAAAATATATAAAAGTGAAAATATCTTTTAATATTTTTTTTTTAAAATAATACAGATTAATTTTATTTTTTCAATATCATTGCCAATACACCCTACATATATTGGTATTATTTTTATGTCTTTGCTGAAAAGTATTTAAAATATAAAATTAGAAAAAGTTCAAAATATTTTATTCATTTATTTATTTATTTATTTATTTATTTTTTTATATAAATAATAGAGAATACAAATAAAAATATTACTCTTTAATTATATATTTTATTAAAGGAAGTTGCATTTCTATTGAATGTTCTTCTTCATCATCCACTTCATCAATAAAGTCGTATAAATTGTAAGAATCATTTTTCATAATATCTGATATTACTATATAAGTATTATAAAATAATATTCGTTAAAAATAAAAAAAAAAATAATAATTTTTGTTTTTTATTAATTCAAGTTACTGTCATTATTTATTTCTAAAAAACCAAAAGGTGTTTCATATTTGTCTACTTTTGGAAGTAAACATTTATTATTATAAATATGATGATTAGGTCCAGCTATAAAAATATTTTTTCTATTGTTAAAAAAAAAAAAAAAAAAAAAATATATATATATATATATATATATATATATATATTTTACATATTTTT